ATGTTTAGAAATGAGTTCACAAATGCTGAAAATGAGGAATCGCAGCTTTTTGCCTTTTTTTTTCTTTTTCTGTCTGCAGTAGCAAAGACGCTTCCTTTCCGGTCTGACAAATTGGCCAGCTCCTTATTGGCCACTTTGCAGTTCGTTTTCGTTAACAGAGTAATAAAGCCCAAGTTGCCATAAAGAGAAAAAAAATCAATCCTGCAAACGAAAACTCCATGCTCCCTCCCCCTTCTTGCAGCGCCCGTTGCAGGAACAGACATCATGCTCAGTGTATGCCTCGAGTTGGTATTGTTCGTCTACATGTTTTTATGAATCTATTTCGCAGGTGTTACTGGAACTAATTATCGCAACCAATCGTAGCGCGCAGAAATGACCAAAAACCGGGAAACCGGTGGCCACCTCAATCCACGCAAGGATGACGCATGATCATAGAAGTCCAAAGAGGGGTCGCTCAAAAGTGTTACCCATGGGAACTCTAACGCTGCTCAAGGTTAACTTATTTATTGCGAGAAGACTGCCAGATGATTTACTTTTGGGAGTAGCGAACTAATTTGATTACCCAAAATGTTGAATTTTACTCGAAGTTTTTTTCTGAGAAGCACGGCCACGCCGGCATTGTTGAGGACACAACGACAATTCGGAACTCAGTCCAAAATGGCAACAGGAGTGCTATATAGGGGAGAAAGCGGCGAAAAAGTGAGGTGAAACTGTCGAAAACCTGTAAAAAAATCTTGTTCTACACCACTTGGAAAGCCATTTCGGGCGAGTACCCGTTGGCATCGTGCCAGTAACCGCTACGGTAGATTCGGCTGCAATGCATTCGTATATCCACAGCCGTTTCATATCAATCCCTTCGCTTCATTGTACTTCGCAAATGAAGCGATACGAGCATCAGCATCGGTCGGACATTTGTGGGCGGGCGGGCATGGTGGGCGTCCGGGTCGGTATGTTGTAGCTTGATAGGGCGCTATAAGGGTACCCCTTAGAAAAGGCGCCGTGCAGCGTCTGCTTGGGCTAGTTCAGTCCTGCTAAGCGTATGACATATTTCGGGGGTTTTATCATGCCAGTGCCTTCAAGAACCTCAGGTGTCTCTCTATCCGAAAACATTATTGATTTTAGTACATTCCGACTTTTTGAAAAACTTAGGTATCTTCCTATCCGTAAATATGGTCAATAAATTCAGCCACAGTAGTGCACTTCAGTTGATTGATACTGCCTGTGGTTTACTACTCTAGGGAAATTGTCTTCAGGATTGTATTAAGTGGATCAGTTTCAATGTTTCCGTACTTTTCAGATCTAAAAAAGATGAAGGAGCCGGAACGTAACCGGGAAAACTTGTAGCAACTTCGCTTTGAAAGAAACTCCTTTTGACCGTCAGCCTTCCAGACTGCTTTCGTTGTCGTTTTGTTGATCCTAGATTTACAAGTGCAGTGGGGAGGCTCAACTTCAGCACTCACCGGAACCATAACCGATTCCGTCCTGGCTGTCCAAGAAATCCAGACTCCAGTT